TTGGGAAGGCAACTCTCACTTTTTTACTATCTTACCAGGGCACATCAAAATCAGCACCGCTCTGGATCATCCCTACTCTAAGCACCACATCACCTCCTCAAGCAAAAGCAATCTATTAAAATCCATCTAAGTATGGGTGGGTCACATCGTCGGTGCGCGTGGAAAAATCAAAATACCAGTCGCTACAGAGAAACATCCCATATCCAACCAAGGATCCAGTCGGAACCAGACAGCCTTATACTGGGACAAAATCAATACACATGCACAAGTAGAACTAAGCAGCCGTGGCCTCGGCCTCCTCCTCGTGGTGGTGGTGGAAATGCCCGTGCTTGCCCTTCTTCTTCTTCTCATCCTTGCCCTTCTTCGTCATTGACTCGGCCATCAACTGCTCGAATGCCATAAAGTCACCCTCCTCCTCGGGGTCACGTTCGGCCTGTAGTTCAAATTAGCTTCCATGATAACTGCGCAAGTAGATCGCCACCCACCTTGGAGTAAATGTTGCCCGCAATCACCAAAGCGTGGGCGCGCTCAACACGCTTGTCCAGCTTCACGCGCTTATCGCCGAGGACCTGGTCGCAGACATCCCGCAACACGCTCTGGATCTCGAACTTGCTGCCACGCCAGGCGGCCGCCAGGATCTTACCAGTCACCTTCTTCTCATACTCGGCCTTCTTCTCGTCTGTCCAGTCCTCTCCACCGCGCTCCTCCAACTTGGCCATCTCCTCCATCGTCATCTGCGCATCGATGGCGGTCGAGATAGTCGTCCAGGTCTCCTTGGCGAGAGTGCCCTTGTCCTTCAGGCGCGAGAAGAAGCCGGAAATACCCAAGAACTTCTGCGACTTGAGGAAGGACGTAGCCTTCTGCACGTAGGTGGCGCCGATCGCATGCAGGATCTCCAAACCGAACGATTCCATCTTCAGGTTCTCCACCTCCAGGCGGATCTTCTCCTCGAAGGCGCGGGTGACGTCCGCGCCCTTGTCGGTCTCCGTCCACACGCTGATCTTGTCAATCAGCTTGGTGGCCAGGGTGTTGACACGCTCCTCGCGGGCCTTCTTCCGTTCCAGCTCGTAGGCTGCCAGCCGCTCCTGTTGTTCCTTCGACAGTCCCTTCTTCTTCTCCTTCTTGCGCAGCTCCTTCTCTTCCTGAGACAGACCGGCTGCCTCCATGCGCGCTTCCTCCTCGGACTTGTCCATGATGGCCTGCTGGCCCATGAAGCGGCGGGGCGTGCTAGCACCGGAGCTGGAAGAGGTGGGCGCGGCGGGCTTCTCAGCGGTGGGCTTTTCAGCGGCGGGCTTCTCGGGTGCGGCGGCCGGGGACTCAGTGGCGGTTGGCGTCGTACCCTCGGCAGAGGCGCGAGCGGCTTGCTCCTCATCGTGAATGTTGAGTTTCTCCTCGGCGGAGGCGGCCAGTTCTTCCTCCTCCATCTGTTGCATGGTGATATCCATTGTCGCGGTCAGGTCCTTCATCAGCGAGATCTCACCGATGAGATCGACAAACGCACTGCCACCGAAGATCATGCTGAAGAATTCCGCCGGGTCCTCTGGAAGACCAGAGTCAGTGCTGTCCGCGTATCTTGTGCCGTCGTCGACTTACCGAAACCGCCGCCGGGGACGGCATCCTCCTTGCCAAACTTGTCGTAGCGTTTGCGTAATTCTTCATCGCTGAGAACTTGGTAGGCTTCTCCAATCTAGTCAAGCCCGGGCAGGATTAGTATCAGCGGGGTTATCTCTCGAGGGTCGTTCTCACCGCCTGGAAGCGCGCATGTGCAGTTTCATCGCCGGGGTTCTTATCTGCCAAGGGGTCAGTTCGCTCGAGGGCTGACAACACAGGGCCACGCGGACGAACCAGGATGGGTGACGATAGCCAACTTCCGGTAGGCCTTCTTGATCTCCAGCTCGGTCGCAGTGGGAGGAACGCCAAGGGCGTCGTAGTATGTAGTGTCGACAACCATAGTGGGATGAAGCAAAGCTTTTACCCGACCACGCGAGGGATGATGATTTGGCTATCGGTTTTGGGCTGCAGCAAGAACAGCCAGCGGAGAGGGGGAGAGATGCAGCCGTAGTCTGTCTTGGGAGAGGCTGCTGCAGGGTAAGTTGTCAACTACCACACAAGATCTGATCTGTGAAGGTAGAAGCTCAACCAGTTGTAGAGTCAGATTGGGACTATTTTTTCATGAGAAAGGCAGATGGATGCCTTGCGACGACCCTTTCGTCATGGCGGGGGAGCGATCGATGTTTTTTTGGTCTCTGTTGCGGTAGAGGTACCGTCACGTATGGTCACAACGGAGCAACAAGAGGCAACAAGACCCGCTCTCTGCCAAGTCTCGGGCGAAGGATGCGGTAAATACCGGGTCACAGCCCCCCGGGGGCTCATCGGAGCCAGTCAGAGGCGATGTTTGCATCTTTGCACCGCTTCTTCTCTCTTTCTCGGCGCGGGAAAAATGAATTGCCTCGTTTGGTTTTCTCCTGTTCGCTTCTTCCTCTCCATCCACCACCTTTTCTTCCACCAACTGTTTTTTTTTCTCCTCTTCTCTTCTCTTCTCTTCTTCTTCTTCTCTCACTCTCTCCCTCCCTCCTCCCACCCCCTTTTTTACGCCCAATTTAATTTCCCTCCCTCCCTCTCTCTCTCTCTCCATCCTCCTCTCCAGACTTTCCCTTCTTCCTCCTTCCTCCTTCCTCCCGTCTTTCCCCTCCCCCTCCGTCTCATTCTCTCCGCGTCCCCTTTGCTGCTACTGAGGCCATTCGCTCATAGCTGTCTGTACATTATTGTACCACGATTATCATTGCAATCTTCTGGGTTCCCGTTGATTCGGTCACTTGATTCACTACTGTTTGGTCTGCTGCTGTTGTTGACCCCATAATATAATCCTTGCCTCACGTTGTCAATCTGGCTTTTCGCCGGTCGTAATACCCCGTCGTTTTTTCAGTCTTCACAATGGGCCTCGCTTCGAACATCTTCTACTACACCTTTCACCCCTCAGAATTGAGGTCGATAGTGCAATGGTTAGTACTGGCTCACGTCCTTGAGCGGTGATGATGGGTCGTGTGTTTGTGCCAACGCTTACGAAGGGGTCCGTGCCCGTGGTAATAGGAAAGTCTGGCACTCACCCGTTCACGAACGCAATGAGAAGGACGAGACCGAAACCCAGAAGGCCTGCTTCAAATTCCTCGACTTGACCAGTCGCAGCTTCAGCGCCGTCATCAAGGAGTTGCATCCCGAGTTGCTGCTGCCGGTCTGCATTTTCTACCTGGTCCTGCGCGGCTTGGACACCATCGAAGATGACACCTCGATCCCTCTGGAGACCAAGGAGCCTCTCCTCCGCGGCTTCAAAGATTTCCTTGAGCAGGATGGCTGGACCTTCACCGGCAACCGCCCCGAGGAGAAGGACCGTGAGCTGCTGGTTCAGTTTCACAATGTCATCACGGAATTCAAGAACATGAAGCCGGCCTATCAGGCGATCGTGAAGGACATAACCGATAAGATGGGCAACGGTATGGCCGACTACTGCCGGAAGGCCGAATTCGAGGACGCCAGCGTCAAGACCACGGCCGAGTACGATGAATACTGCTGGTACGTGGCTGGCCTGGTGGGCGAAGGCTTGACGCGTCTGTTTGTCGAGGCCGAGTTTGCCAATCCGGCTCTCCTGGAGCGGACTCGTCTGCACAAGTCGATGGGTCTCTTCCTGCAGAAGACCAACATCATCCGTGACGTCCGAGAGGACAATGACGACAAGCGTCGCTTCTGGCCCAAAGAAATTTGGTCGAAGCACGTCACCAACTTTGACGATCTGTTTGACCCACAGCATCGCGAGGCAGCGCTTAACTGCGGCTCCGAGATGGTCTTAAACGCATTGGAACATGTGGAGGACTGCCTGTTCTATCTGGCTGGTCTCCGGGAGCAGAGTATCTTCAACTTCTGTGCCATCCCGCAGTCCATGGCCATCGCTACCCTGGAGCTGTGCTTCCGCAACCCGGCGATCTTCGAAAGAAACATCAAGATCACCAAGGGTGAGGCGTGCAAGCTCATGTTCGAATCCACCCAGAACCTGCGGGTACTGAGTGACACCTTCCGTGTCTACGCCCGTCGGATCCACAAGAAGAACACTCCTAAGGATCCCAACTTCCTGAAGATCAGTCTGGTCTGCGGACGGGTATGTTGACTCCCCTTGGTTCAAGTGAGCTCTTGCTAATACTTGGCAGATTGAGAAGTGGATTGAGACGATCTTCCCCACCCAGTCCGCCGAGGTGGCTAAGCGTCGTATCACCGGTGAGATGACTGAGGCTGAGCGTAAGAAGAGAGAGGAGGAGGCCGACACGCGCCAGGATGTGTGCTTTATGATGGGCCTCATGCTGGTGATTGTGATCATCGTCTCGGTTGTTATGGTATGTCCTTCTCGGTCTCTCACACGATTGTTTACTGACTGTTGTAGATTGGCACGGCTTGGATGTTGGGTGCGCGGTTCGATCTCGCATGGCAAGAGCTCAGGAAGGGCAACTTCCGGCCGCCCGAGAATATTAATGAGCTCGCCCACCAGGAACTGTAGATTGTTCCAATATCTTCTACGGAGTTACGACATGTCTTGATACTTACCCAGTGACCGCGGCTGGCTCATGTTCTATACCTTATTTCGTCGCCATGACCGCCATACTTTAATACATTGACCTGACACCTTATTCTCTTTTCTTTTAGGTTCCCTAGCACGGATGTCAAATTGCAACCCAGCCTGTCCATGACTGTGGTTGTGCCGAAGAAGTGCTGAAATTGAAACGAGAAATTCTCGCCCAGCGACGTACTAGATGTGTGTCTTGCAACTTAACTGTTGCGATGGCAAACATCCATTGAGGACCTGGAACATACTGTAAACATAGGTAGTTCTAATGAATTGATATCTCGATTTCCATCTTTTAGTTGACATGTCCATTGTATATTCCGCTTCTTGACATTGTGGTTGTACGGCAGGAGTTTGGGCCGAAAAGTTCTCCAAGATCTCCATATCTGCACTATTTTTTGATATGTTTTAGAATAAGGCCTATCTTGTGGTTCATCCTATCCAACTTGTGCTGCATGGTTTTCATCTCGTGTTCCATCTCTTTCACTTTGCGCTCGGAAGAGCTTTCAGCTTCCAACGAGTCAGCAATCACGCGAAATAAGCGCGCCCTCTCAGATTCTTCCGGGTTTGCGCGCCTCTGTCTTTTGTGTGGCACCTCGTCGGAGGCCTCGGAGGCCTTGGAGGCCATAAAGCGACGTTTCTCATGAGGCATACGAAGCATGGCTAGTTGATCGCGGCGCTCTTGCGCCTCTTCCTCCTCCTCCTCCCGCGCCGCCGCGATTTTCGCATAAAACCCATCCCGCCCCCTCAACCACATCCCCAACCACCCCTCGTACTCCGAACCCCTGTCCGCCGCCCGGCCCTGCCCCCACGCCTCGACCCAACGCACGTAGTCGTCCTCGATCGCGCGGACCACTTGCTCGACCGCCGCGGGGGTCATGGTGGTCCGACCCAAAACCTGGCGGAAGTCATCAGCCACCCGGTCCCAGAATCGGGCCGTCGTCTGTGTTCCCTTGGTGTAGTGGCGGAAGTCGATGCACACTTGGATCAGATCTGTCTGCTTGTCGAGCGGGGTTGTCGCGCAGGAGGAGGGTTCGGATAACTGCGGGCGGGCGCGGGCGCGGGCGGTACTAATAGGGTGGAGGACCCAGCTGACGCGGACGATGTCCATGTCTTATGCCTATGGGGAGTGGGATTGGGATTGGGATTGGGATTGGGATTGGGATTTGGGGAGCTTTCTGGTGGTGGTGGTGGTGAATTGATTCGGTGATTTGGGGGGGATGGTACTACGGAGAGTACATTGTCCATGACAATTTTTGTGGAAGATTGTATTGTCTTTTCGTGCTAAAATACTTTCAGAACTGTTCATTGGACATTGGAGATCTTTTGCAGACTGGGAATTCCCAGTTCTGAATGGGTTCAGTGTATGGTACTTTAGTCTAGCATAAAAAAGGGCGGTCAATATCGGAGTAGCCTCCGGTGTCTGCCCAGTGGAGGTGCTTGAATCCCCTTCCTTTATTCTGCCGGCAATTCACACCACTAGCCCTCCGGTCCTTAGCTCTCTGCAGACCGCCCAGCCCACCCATCCACATCACACTAAGCCCAATCCAACCCCTGCCCCACGGCCCCGGTCCCTGACGGACGCCTCCAACTGCCGAAAGTCTGTAGTTTTTCTCTCTTATCCAACCGCATCAGCCCCCATACTAATCCAAATCATAATCACAATCATAATCACAATCATAATCAATATTCTAATCTCCTGCTTACAATTGCTGACAATCTCTCCGATTCGAATCCCATGCGCTTCACTGCACGACCACGCTTTAGTATTTCCCGCCTCACTCGCCCTGCTGCTGCTGCTGCTGCTGCTCGCTCGCGCAGACCAGCACTGATAGTCCCCGCGCGCGTTTCCCTTGAGTGTGTGCCTTATCAACGGAAGATAGCCACCATGCCGCCGCCGCCGCCTGCTGCTGCGCAAGCTACACCCGACTCCTCCAAGCCCAAGCCCGGTGAGCAGCCGCCCGCGGAAGCAGAGGAGGCCCCCCTCCCGCCGCTCTCCGCGAAGGAGTTCCGGGTGTATAATCGGTTGGCGGAGCATATGGATCAGTTTGTATGGTCCCCGGGGAAATCGTGCAGATATCTTATGGTGTTCCCTCTCTCTACCTTACCTACCCTACCCTACCCTCCTCCCCCGCGGGTTACTGGGTTATCTCCCCGCTGAGTACCAGTACACAACAACTCAACTATATGTATCCATCCACCATACAACACAACACACCACCTGACCCTACCTTACCCGTACCGAACACTTTACCACTTCCCCCCCACCATCCCAATACTAACATCCAAAAAAACAAGCACACCCACTTCCGCCACACCTACGCAACCCTCCAAACCGCGTGCGCCCCAGCCACCCAAAAACACACCCTGCCCCCGAAAGCCCTGATCACCCTGGGCCTGGAATTCTGCCACCACCTCACGATGCACCACACGATCGAGGAGCGGCACATCTTCCCCGTGCTGGCGCGCCGGATGCCCGAGTTCCGACGCGAGCTGAGCCTGGTCGGCCAGCATAAGGTGATCCACCGGGGGATGGATGCGCTGGAGCGGTACCTGGAGGGGTGTCGGCGGGGGGAGACGGATCTGGAGCGCGGGGAGGTGAAGCGGTTGTTGGAGGGGTTTGGGACGGTGTTGTTTGAGCACCTCGACCAGGAGGTGGAGGCGTTGCGGGCGGAGAATATGAGACGGTATTGGAAGGTCGGGGAGATGGCGGGGTTGCCTATGTGATTTTCTATCTCTTGTAGAGGAGGGGATTGGGTTGTGTGTATGTTTAGATGCGGTGGGTTCAATGTTTAGAGAACATAGCGGAATTGAGGATTCTACACACGCACGCCCCACACATCCGTTAGCTGGGAACTGTAGTCTGAGCAAGCACAGGTAAAAGGCAGCAGACATACCTCGAAATCCGTCCGATCGGCCATCACCTCTTCTTCCTCCTCTTCTTCTCCTCTTTCGGCGACGACTGCGACATCCAGCTCGCGCCGACGATTCCTCCGCGCCAACAGCACCCGCAACAGCCCCGCAATCGCCATCTGACACAGCGCACACGCCAGGATCAACTTACACCCCGTCGCGTAGACGGGCGCCTCCTCCGCCAGGAACGCGTGCGGGCCGATGATGTTCCCGATGCAGTACGCGAGGAACACGAACGCGGTGGCCGTGACGCGCTTGGTGTAGCCGCCCATGTTGCTGGAGGGCATTTGCAGCGCGAGGACGAGCGAGGTGACGAAGGATCCCACCTGGCATGATGGTTGGGGTTGGGTTTCGTGTCAAGTAAGAAAGGGGGGGGGAGGGCACTTACGATGTAATATCCGAACAACACGCCGTAGCGATTCGTCCGCGAAAGCTTCCAGAGGAGACAGACGCCGATCACCGTCGGGATCAGGTACACGGCCATGATGAGCGTGCGGATGTTCTTGAAGCGCGAGGAGAGGTATGTGCCCGAGAGGATGAAGAGGACCTGGAAGGCGCCTTGGGGGATGCTCAGGACGGTGGTTAGCAGGGAGCTGGAGACTAGGCCGCGGATGATGAGTTTGCCGAACTGTTTCCCTCAAGGGATTAGGATCTCGTATTCCATGTCGTCAGCTTCCGAGGCGAGGGGAGAGGACGTACGTTGGCTACACCTCCGTTGACGGTCTCGTTGAGCAGAGTGAATAGGAACAACAGCCAGACTTGCGGGTCGATGAGGGCTTCGCGGATCTGGTACCACTTGATCGAGCGGTTGAGGATACCCTGAGCCATCCGATTAACAATTCACCCTCAACATCGGGATGGGACGGACGTACAGTCTGGTTCTGCTTCCCGCGACCAATGAGCATGATCTTCTCTTCCACGGAGAAGCGTTTCGAGGAGAGGATGCTATTCGGCAGGAAGAGCAGCATGAGGATCCCCCAGAGGATGGTCGCCCCGCCGCAGATGAGGAATACGGCGCGCCAGACGGGAAAGCCGTCCACCTGGCCGATGCCGTAGGTGATCAGTCCACCGACCTACACAGTCAGTGAGTCTCAGGTCGACTGCAGATTCCACAAAGGCCAGCATACCATCGATCCCACCCCGTTGCAGCAGTAGAAGATTCCCGCGCGGAAGGGCTGCTCTTGACGAACGTACCACATGCCCACGATCATCATGAAACACGGCGTGATTGGCGCTACGAAGTGTCAGCTAGGTCTGCCTACGGTATGGTACAGTACACAGGAGGAACATACATTCAAAGCACCCCAGCAAGAACCGACACACCGCCATCCCAGTGAAATCGTGGCAGACCGCGGTGATCATGAGAATCGCGCCCCAGGCGATCCTACGCCTCGTTAGCTTGCACACCTCCGTGTCTCGGCGACGCACTCACACGAAACTCGACACAACGGTGCCAATCGGCAGCCGCTGTGCAATGTAGCTGGCCGGGTACTCCCAGAACAGATACCCTGACCCCCGTCAGCGACCCGCCAGCATACCACGGGACGGGAGCACGCTACCAAAGTAAAAGATACTGGCAAGCCAGCTGTACTGGTTGCTGTCGATGTGGGCGTCGGTGAACAAGTCGAACACCGCACTGTATGATAAGGCCTGCGCAGACTTAGCACGACGCCATTGTGCACGCGGGAGACACGCACCTGCTTGTCGATGTATTGGAGACAGTATGTGCCGCACATGAGCGGGAGCAGGATCAGATCGATACGTCGTCTCAGCTTCCTCGTCCGGATGGGATCGTCGAGCATGGCCTGGAGTTGGTCGCGGGAGACGCCATGCTCGTGGAGGAAGAGCTCTGCCTCGTCCAGCGAGGAGACCTCGCCGACTTCCACGTCGTCGGCTTTGGATACGTTCACGGGAGGGGGCTTCTCCTTTTCCTTGTGCTTGACTCTCTGTTGAGGGGGATTGATTGCCGCCATTTGGATGAATGTATGGTGATATAGATGGTTCCTGAAAGACCACTCGAGAAATGAGGGATGCCTTAAATACTCCCAAGGCAGCCCGCCTCGACAGCCTCCCCTCTATTATCCTGAGATAAGGTACTGGGCATTTCCCCATAGTTCCTCGAAGCATGGCCTTCAACCCATCATCATTGGAGATTTGCTCTGTGGAAATCGGTGGCACCCATAGCTGATAAGCGTGCTCAACCCGGACCAAGCTGCCGAAAGCAGTGTCCTCCACGAGCGAGGACCGATAACCACCCATTTTGCAAGGAGCAGCCAAATAAAAGCCCGTGACGAAGTAACTATATCTCGGAGAGTGTCCGAGATAAGCGGGAGATGGAGGAGGCGATGAGATAAGATTGAGGGGAGGAGCGGGGAAAGTGATTGATAGCGCAGTCTGTCGGCACGCAAAAGTGATCGCCGATGAGGAGAGATCCCCCAACTCCCCAATAAAAAGGACCGTGTTCGGCATTCAGTTCAGTCAGGATTCCGAAATTTTGTTCACTTCATACGTGATACTACCGACCGACCATGCTGAGTGCGAGACCGTTGCTCCTGGCTGCACTGCCAGTCATTCTGCTGCTGTTTGTCCAGCAGCCATCCGGCAGCACTCAACAGCTCCAAACGCTCCTTGCCTCGTGGCTGCCCTCATCGCTACACAATGCTATCCTTCTGGATCGGCCCCGCGTTGCCATATCCCAGGGAACGGTGGTGGGCACCACGTTGACAGAGACACTGAATCATCCGGTGGACGCGTTCCGTGGAATCCCCTATGCCCTACCGCCGGTGGGCAATCGCAGGTTCCGTCGGGCCGTCCCTGTCAATGCTTCGGACGAGTTGGTCGATGCCAGTCGCTATGGTCCACGGTATGTTTCCAGTGCATCTGTACCGCGCGGTCGGCTGATGGTTCGACAGCTGCCCAGGCAAGCAGTTGTTGCAGATCCCCGGGGATAGCGGCAGCAGTGAGGATTGTCTTACGGTCAATGTCTTTCGACCCCAGGGGGTGCAGGGCAAGCTCCCTGTTGCTGTCTACGTTCACGGTGGCGCTTACAACCGCGGAACAGGTAAGACAGGCTTCCAAGGTTGCATGAGTGGTAACTGATCGGACCAGCCTCGATGCACAACACAGCGTCCATGGTGGGTTGGGCCGACGAGCCCTTTGTCGCGGTCAGCTTCAACTACAGGCAAGTGCATGCGCCCTCGAGGCTAGCAAGGCGAACAAGAAACATGCGCAACTAACACACTGCAGAATCGGTGCTCTCGGCTTCCTCCCCTCGACCACCACAGCGAACGAAGGCATCCTCAACCTGGGACTGCACGACCAACTCCTCCTGTTCCAATGGGTGCAAAACAACATCGCCAGCTTCGGCGGCGACCCATCCCAAGTCACTCTGATCGGTCTTTCAGCCGGCGCGCACTCAGTAAGACTCACCCCCCCCCCCCCCCCCCCCCCCCCCCCCCCCCAAAAAACACCCCCCCCCACCCCCCCCCCCCCCCCCCCCCCCCTCTCCCAGAAACTCGAAGACTAAACACCCCCAGATCGCCCACCACATCCTAAACCCCGACCTGCAACACACCTACTTCCACCGGGCGATCATCGAATCCGGCGCTGCGACCTCTCGCGCCGTCCACGCCCACAACGCGGCCCTACACGAAGCGCAATTCCGGGAGTTCGTGACCGCAGCCGGATGCGACCCCACCCTCTCCGACCCCAACATGCTAACCTGCCTGCGCGCCGCGCCGTCCGCGACCATCACCACGGCCTCCTCCACCGTCTTCGACCGCTACAACCCGTCAGTACGGTGGGCCTTCCAACCCGTCATCGACGGCGACCTCATCAAGCGCCGGCCCATCGACGCCTGGCGCGCCGGCGCCTGGAACAAGAACATCGCGCTGCTGACGGGCTTCAACACCAACGAGGGCACGTACTACGTGCCGACGGCGCTGGCCACCGCGGCCGAATTCTCCGCCTTCTTTGCCACCCTCCTCCCCGCGTGGACCGCCGAAGACCTGCGCGCCATCGACGCACTCTACCCGGATCCGGCCGTCGACGGAGCGTCCCCGTACCTCGAGACGAGGAATATCAGCGTGGGCCCGCAGTTCAAGCGCGTCGAGGCCGCGTACGGCCACTATGCGTATGCGTGTCCCGTGCGCCAGACAGCGCGGTTTGTGTCGGCGGCGCAGCCGCAGCAGCGCGAGCCGGTGTTCCTGTATCGGTGGGCGTTGAATAGGACTGTGCTGGGCGGGGCGAATCATGGGGATCAGACGGCGTATGAGACGTTCGATCCCGAGGTCAGGGCGTTCTCGCCGGCGCAGGAGGAGATGGCCGGTATGTTTCATGCGTATATCACTTCGTTCATTGTGAGGGGGGATCCGAATGCGGTGCAGGGGAGGTTTGCGCGAAGACCGCGCTGGGAGCCGTTTGATGCCTCCCAGAGGATTATGGTGCTCGGAGAGGGCAATGATGAGCGTGCGGGGGGCCGGGGTGTGGGCGTGACGGCGCAGATGGCGGATGATGAATGGAGTAGCAAGGAGTGTGATTTCTGGTGGACGAAGAGCGGTGTTTCGGACTGATTGGGTGAGAGGGAATTACCTTGCTGAGGGGGAGGGTGGATTGTATAGTAGAGGATGATATTTGCCGCAGAATAAAATGCTATGGAGCTCACAGGTGCTACTCGTTAGCAACTGATTGTGGGCTGTGACCCCGCTCTTCAGTACTGTTCTGAGAGAAACGTCCAACAAAAATATATTTTGTCTAATTCGAAGTTGCTAATGTGTAGGAAGCCAAAAGGGGTATTTGTGGTTGTCTATAGTGTATGACTCTCAAAACAGGAGTGGTGAAGCCAAATACTACTGTGAACAGATTGGGGTGTAATTTCCACGGACCGGCCGAGGAATGAGGGTTAAAATCGGATAACGCTTCATCGGAGCTCAATATCGATGCATATCGTACCCACTCTGCAGTGGTCAAGAAAAGAACAGTTTCTTCTGTCGCGGATCCGGAGATTCCTGTCCGGGAGGTTTGCGTTTGCGGGGTTTGGACGCCGCCGGCGGGGTTTCTTCGCGGATATGCTCAGTGGTACCCTGGACCGCCTCTTTAATGGTCTGCTTGGAGAGACAGTAGTCGACATGGTCGTTGAAGGCCCGATCATCGGCCACCTGGGGTTTCAAACATATCGGACAATCCCAATACGCTGGGGCTGTGTTCTGGGCCGGCTTGCCGTCGACATCTGCTGATTCGGAGATTTCCTGGCTGAGCTTCTCAATCTCATTCATCTCGTCGTGTAACTCCTGACGTGCAGCTCTTTCAAACGCTTCTTCCGCGCCGATCTCTTGGTCGGGATTGTCGTCGGTAGACGGCTCCACGGCTGGTTTAGGCCGAGGGGCGACCCCGAAGAACTCGATGCCGACTTTCTTGGTGCTCACGAGATTGGTGCAGCGCAGACCAAGCAATCGCAGCTTCATGTCAGGGATCTCCTTTTCCAGCTTCTCCAGCATTGGCAGGGAGAAGGCATAGAGATCCTTGGCGGTGAATACCGCGCGTGAGGGCTGACATTGCCGCGAGAGCACTTCGAAGGTTGCCAGCTTGACCTTCAACACCAGGGTACGACCTTTGAACTCCGTGCGAGCGAGGTCCTTTTCCAGCTCCTCGGCGGCTGACCATAACTTCGCGCGAAGCTCCTCCTTACCGCCCAACTCATGAAACGTGCGCTCCGTGCCCACACTCTTCCGCTCATAGTTCTCCACGGGCTGAATCTTCGTCCTTCCCAGACCCAGATAGCACTGCATGAGAAAGTACGCCGCCTTCTCCCCGAACAGGCGCGTCAGATACGCCCGCTGCGGGAAGATATCCCCACAGGTCTTGATGCCGATCGCCTCCAGCTCGCGCTCGAACACCCGCCCCACCCCATTCACCTTCCGCACTGGCAGCTCCCGCATGAACGCCATGATCGCCACTCTCTCGCTCGGCACGCAGAACTGGCCATTCGGCTTATTCCGATTCGAGGCGATCTTGGCCAGCTTGGCATTCGCCGCGATGCCCGCCGAGACCGAGACCTTGGTTTCGGCCAGCACCTCGGCGCGCATGCGCTCGACCGTCTCCTCCGCGCCCACCCCGTTCTCCGCACAGTAGGCTGTCAGGTTGAGGTAGGCCTCGTCGATGCTCGCGCTCTCGAAAAGGGGGTCATACCGCGCGAAGACCGCGCGGATCTCCCTCGCCTTGGCGCTGTACTTGTCGTAGTTCATCGGCAGGCAGACCAGCCGCGGGCAGAGCTTCATGGCCACGAAGGAGGCCATGCCGCTGCGGACGCCGAACTTGCGCGCCTCGTAGTTGCAGGTCGTCAGGACGCCCTTGCCGACGGCCATGGGCACGGTCTTCAGCTCTGGGTGGTCCAGCTCCTCGACCGCCGCGAAGAAGGCGTCGCAGTCGACGTGCACGACGTGCTGACTTAGATCCCGTGTCAGCTCCAGCTCTGCGATCAGCTGGTCCGCGCGCCGGAGGTCCGCCGAGAGATCGAGCGTCGCGAGGTGGGCCTTCTCGCGGAGAATCCGCGCGATCTTCTCCGTCAGGACCTTGTCGCGGTTCTGCTCGTGGTGGAAGAACTTGGAGCCCTTGGAGGCGTTGTAGATGATTTCGGACACCTTGGATCGGAATCGCTCAGTATGAAGAAGGCAGAAAGCGAGTAAGTCGGGATATACTCACCTTCCGCTGATCCACGGCATCCTGACCGGCTTTGGTCAGGGAGGGACCAAGCAGTTGATATTTGAGGGTTTCGAATTCATAGTCTGCATCCTTGTTGTTGTTGTTGTTGTTGTCGGGACGCTCCTCGCCCGGAGGCTCCATTTTCTTTCTTGTGTCTGAAAGAAAAGGTGATGATGACGTTTTCCGCCGGCACCCGCGAAGCAATTATTACCCAAAGTGGGTAAAGCTGCCACCGCCGACGCCTGCGCACGTGATCACGCGTTGGTGTGTTTTTGGAGCCCAGCGGGTTTCCCCGCGGAAGACTTTCACGTGCAATGCTGCCGCCGTCATTCTTTCAGCCGGTCACTTAGCCAGCCTTCTTCTGGCCGTGCAAGCAGCTGGTTCCATTCGTCTGCCCATGTGGATCCTTGAGTCTGAAGGGGATTTCCTTGAGGGTATGTCTTGTTTACCTCACTTGGGCAAAATGAAGGCTAACTGTTTGGCAAAATAGGGAAGCGCGTCTGGCTGCGCCCGGGGAAGAAGTATCTGTTCGGTCGGGCTAGAGAAGATGGAGGTAATTATGGTTTCCATTGTCAGAAAGTCGAGGATCGAATGCCGATCATGCCAACAAACGGATTGTAGTGAGACATGCCATTGCGAATAAGACTATCTCGCGGAAGCATCTCTTGATCGAAGTCTCCCCTGTCAAGCCGGGCGATGGGGTAAGTATGCGGTCCGATGCTGGGCAACTTCCCTGCTGACCTCACTGGCTGTAGGCACATCTCCACACCAAGTCAGAGATAACTGTTACCGATCTGGGATCGAAGTTGGGTACCAAGGTTAATGGTGAAAAGATAAGTGGGAATACGAAGTTGGAGGGCCAGCACCACGAGCTGCAACTGGGGCGCTATGAGCATATGCTGCGGTGAGAACAAGCGCTCTACCCCTGTCGCTGATCCAGCTAACATCTTTCCCTTGACATAGGATCAAATGGTGTCCCACGGTGCTGAGCTTTTCCTTCTCGAGCAAAGAGCTCAAAGCCAGAGACCCTCTCGCACGAGTGCGCTCCCGACTCGAAGACCTCGATATCAAGACGATCATACCCTACGTAGTCGACAAGACGACGCATGTGGTTCAGAGCAAACGGAATACAGCGAAGGGCTTGCAAGCATTGGTGAATGCCAAGCACATTGTTCAGGATACCTACGTGGACGCCCTGGTTTATGCGGCGACTCCAAGTGACCTGGACAGCCCCGAGTCCTTGTGCCCTCTCGAGGCTGACTTTGACTCGGCATGGCCGGACCCAGCCGAGCATCTTCCTCCTCCGGGAAAGGAAACGACTCAACGGCCCAAAGAGGCCTTTGCGCCCAACCCCGCCCGCTTGAGCATCTTCGAGGGGTTCACCTTCGTTTTCGGCGATGCCACACAGATGGAGAATCTAGAAGATGCCCTGACCAACGGCCAGGGGAAGGTCTTACTATATCAGATCGAGGACGGAGTGACTACTGCTGAGGAATTTGCGCAGTTCATGAGGAACGCTGCGGGGAATAAAGGGTTGGGAAGTCAGCGAGATAGCCCTGGCGGTGTGGTGCATGTACGGTACCGTGCCAAGGGTCGCCATGAGGAGTGGTCCCTGGAGCTCAGTCAACAGATTGCACTCCTGACCGAGCAGCGGGTGATTGAGCAGAGTGAATTTCTGGACGCCATCCTGGGTAACAATTCGGCTCCTCTCTGTCAGCCTCTACTTGAGGAGGTCGATGCTAGCGACGAGGCAAATGCAGAATCTTCTCCGCAGCCTCCACCCGGCACCGCCTCCAGCGAGACAGTTCCTGCCGCGGACTCACAACCGTCAGAGGAAGTAAGTCAGCCGCCCGCACGAAAGTCCCGGCCTCGTGTGCGGGGGTATGTAAGTAAGATGAAGACATTTGATGATGGCTTCGACATCAACTCCATTCCAGTTCATGCGCCAGAGGAAAATTCAGCGATATCCCCTCCTCCGATGGAAGTCGAACCTGCGTCTGTCCAGGAGTCGCAGCAACAGAACAGCCTGAACGACGAGGAAGATATTGTCTCTAGTCTACTGCCAGGTGCGGCGGCGATGAAACGTCGACGTGCTGAGACCAGTCGACAATCTGTAGACGATGAATCGTCCCAGCCCAAGGAGGAATCCCCTCGCAAACCTAAGCGTCAGAAACTAGATGTGCTCGAGGCCGCCCGACAGCATCGGGAAGCCGAAGAGGATGCCCAGCGTCAGCGCCGAGTTGCGGAAGAGGCATCTCTCCAGGACTCCTTGCAAGAGGTGGATATTGAGAAGCTCAAAGGACTCGCTATTGTGGAGGAGATGGAGATCAAGCCGCGCAATGTCGATGCAGAGGATAGCCGCTGGAACGATCGGTGGAACGGGCGCAAAAACTTCAAAAAGTTCCGACGGAAGGGCGATCCTAGCCAGCCGCGCTACCGCATCCAGACCGTCATAGTTCCTTTAGAAGAGGTCACCCGCAAAGAATTTGGGATAGGCGAACATTACTGGGTGAGCAACAGTCATCGATCGACCGAGGCCGTTGTGGCAGAGAGCCCTCCAGAGCCAACGATGACCCCGAGCGGTACGGTGGCGTCTCGCTCACAGTCCCTAGCGCGCACAGACTCGGAGGTGGCTGCGCCTCGTACGCAGAAACGAACGCGAGAAGAGCGTGAGGAATCCGACAGCGACGATGAACTTCGATTTCGATTCCGCCGCCGGAGATGATGCTGAGGGATGTGGTTCGATTCTTCGTGTATATAGCTCTCATCATGCTTTGCAGGCCTTCTTTTGCAGGTGTCCGTTTTGCGCTTTTTCGTGCATGGTTTAGCGCTGATACTCAAAATATGAATATCTCTTAAGTAGTGGACTAGTACTCAAATTGTTTAGTGTAAGTGAAGTGTGAAATTAAAGATGCGGCCAGATGTGGGGATGGGAGAAAAGTAAAGGGAAAAGTGCAAAGAAGATCCACCCTGCGGGGAAAAGCCCATTGGGACTTTGGGTCCTTCTTATCGATCCTGTCCACCACAACTTGGCAAGTACTGCACGGTGTTGGGCACAAGTGGAGCAAGTGGATGTGTTGGTGTTGGATGTACGATGATTTGAAGATCTCAGGTGATTGATCACTCCCATTAGAGAGAGAGAGAGAGAGAATCGATCGGTATAGGAGCTTTGTGCTAGCACCAGCCTGCGGTCTTCATTGCAATCTTTATCTATCCAAAGGCGAATGATATGGATGTCTGCAGATGATAAATTATGGTGTATCCCGATATAGCATCAATCGGCTTGATTCATGGTGGACGGGCTGGTCGATTTACTTGAAACAGACAGGCCGATGGATGAGATCCTGAGGAGGGTGATGTAAACAATTTCATCATAACAGTCGAGAATTTCGAGAATCAACCAGGCCATGTTATGAGCCAGTAGTCCAGTTCCAAGAGCAGGAGCAGGAGAGTGAAGGGAGTGGTGTGATATTGAGGAGCTTATACGTATTGTTATTGTTGATGTTGATGTTGATGTTGATAGTAATGGCAAGATCCAGCCAGTTTCGGGGTGGTTTCAACTTTTCCCATCCATCCTGGAAAATCTCCCCATTTCCCCCATTCCCATCCCTCCTGCTGCCTCTCCCCGTCTCTGTTTTCCTACTCTTGCTTTTTTTTAAAGTTATTTCTTTTCCCCCTCTTTTCTTTTTCCTGTCGTCTTCTGTTTCCCATTTTCTTCACTCGATACCCCCTAGTCAATTCCACCCTCTCTATCTCCTTTATACCCACTCGCCTGGTTGCGCTCGTTTTCTTTTACTTCGTTTGCCTCTCTGATACCCTCCATCCTGATTACCATCTAAATCACCTACTATTTACTTGCACCAGCTGCCTGACGGCCTAACCGCCGGTTATCGACTGAACAACACTGCTTGCTGCATCAACACCGCCATGGACCACGTTGGCCGATCAACCTCAACTTCAATTTAACAGCTTTCGTTTTTCCTCCACAACCCCCCCCCCCAAAAAATCTGAAAGGAAAAGCCATCATCTGCTCCCGCTATTTTTATCCTTTTTTCTGTCGCACACGAAGATCCGATTTTGCCTTGGTCTGACGAATCCCGCAGTGCCCACCTGATCACTCAAGACTTTGTGAAGGAAAAGGGAAAAAACAACACTCGGTCTCTCCCCTCATCTTTCATTCTCTGATCTGGACACACAGACCTATCGAAAGACTAAAACCGACTCTTCCCTGTCACCGGCTTCGATTAGCCTAACGAACTCACGACTGCTGATTTCTTTCTCCCCTGCTTGGCGTTCTCCGGGTGTTTCATGCTGCTTTCCTTTTTTACTATTTTCTTGTTTCCCTCTTTTCTCTAAATTCTCGCACAATCACTCCCTCCGCCCGTCATGATTTCGACGCTCCCTCCCCCTCGTCCCGTGTCCGTCAACTCGCTGGCCAAAGCGTCGGTCTCGACCACCCTTCCATATGCCAAATCGAACCGGTGTACCAGCGCGGAGATCCAGTTTCCCGAGGGACCCGTTCCCTCCGCCGCGGTGGGGCTCGTCGTTTGTCACCAGAGCCCGGTGGATACCGAGATGGAGGACACTGATAGCCAGCCCCCGATAAGCGTCGAGACACTACCACAGTCCAGCCATTCCGCGATCCGGTTCGAAGATTTGCCCATCGAGATCCACGAGGCGATTCTGGACTACCTGTTTGGGGAACGAGCATCCGCCTTCACCTCTTGCACCTGGGGCAAGTCCGCGCGCAGTTGGAACCGGTCGTTGCGTCATCCCCGTCGAAAGGCGCTATCGAATCTATCGCTGATAACCCGGGTGTGGCGAGAATTGGTGCAGGATCGGATCTACCGACATAGTCAGTTTCTGTTCTTTCGTTCGCAGGCTCTTGGATTCGTTCTGATCGGGTTACAGTCAAAATCAAGGGCACCGCAGATGAGTTGGCGGCAAGCGCACGCTGGTTCCGGGCGCACCCCCGTCTCGCCCCTTTTGTCCGCCACGTCGAGATTTGGATCCCGGTTTGGGGGAAACGCGCGACCAAGCAGTTCACGCAGCAGCTCCCGACGCGGCGTTTCAACAACGGAGACGTGGGGTTTGCCGACCCGGCCGCCCTGCAGAATGCGATGGTCTGGGACGATTCGGACACCAACCACAGCAGTGACTATCGATACCACTATGCCAGCCACAATGCCACCCTGGAAGAGATGTTCGCCCACGTGCAGACCTGCTTCCCGCAGGCGCGCATCCTGACCCTCGAGGGGGGCCATTGCAAGCGGCCGCCGATGGTGCGCCATTTCCGGGACGATCCGTGCGGGCACTCGGGGCTGCGGCGCCTCCCCGTGCTGCCGGACATCCAGACCTTCGTCATGCGCGGGGCGTGGAACATCATGCGCGACTACCAGCACTGGGCCAACATGTCCCAGGCGCTGCCGGGCGTGCGTGAGTGGCACTGTGCCTACGCCAAGCCCAAGATCGAGGGCTACGAGACCATCGCGGAGGTGCTGGCGCGGCTCTCGCCGTCGCTGGTGCATGTCAACATCAGCCTGGAGGGATTTTATAATAAGGACACCTCGCAGACCGGGTGGACGCCCGACGGGATCACGCCGCCGCACCTCTGCCGGCTGCTGGGCGAAGCGGCGCCGCAGCTCGAGTCCCTGGCGTTCACGGGCAAGGTGTGCGCGGGCCTCTTCCAGGCGACGCGCGGGTTCATGGCCTCGTGGCCGGCCAAGTCGCGGCTGAAGTCGCTGGACCTGGTGGTCAAGACGTGCTGCCGGGAGAAGAAGCACGTGCACCCGGGGCTGGCGTTCCTGGACGATTTCTCGGGGATCACGAACCTCAACTTCATCCGGTCGTTCGAGAAGCTGGTGCTGGGGGCGGTGCACAGCCTGCAGCTCCACGCGCGGCTGGACTACATGCGCATCCGCTTCATCGACCTGGACTCGGCGTGTCCGCCGCTGAACCCGTACTTCCAGCTGGTGGACGGCGAGTGTACGGGCCTGTGGAGCGAGCGGATCCTGGAGGCGCTGCACGAGGCGCGGCCCGAGGCGCACTACGTGGAGCTGTCGGATGGGATCTATCCGCAGTACGGGCACAATCGGCAGATCGTGGGGGCCGTGTATCCCCGCACGCGGCCGTTGAGCATCCATGCGTCGACGTACAAGGTGATTGCCGATGTGTCGAAGCCGTAGTTTGGGAGTGTGTTCATGTCTTCATGATGAGAGAGTTTATAGCAACTGCTGATTTGCTTAAGATAGTATAATGTTACATGTAGCTGAAGCTGACTTGTGTCTGCCATCCGACTCAACTGATGTCTGACCCTGGGACTCCGCTCTATACATACTCCTTGGCGTAGCTCAGTCTCTAGTACCCACCACCCCCGGCCTCCAACCCCCCCACATCCTGCACAATCACTCCGAGAATCCACACATTGACCGCGAAGAACCCCAGCGACGCCACAAACAATCCCGGCACGAACGTCGACAGCCCCAGGAACTCGAGGTTATACCCTTGTTGCAGCCAGAGGGCCTGACAGTATGATCAGCACAATTGCAACTGTTTCCCTGCCCGCATCAAGATCGACACTCAAGCACCCGCCCCCTTTACCCAACCCACACACCCGGGGGGAAGAGGGGGGTGAAGAAAGAAAGAGAGAGTAGGGGGTAAATACACACCTGCGCAACAACCCACGCGCCCAACGCACCCACCCCGAGCCGCGGCTTTCGTAAGAAAGACGAGTACGGCAGATACAGCGGCAGGAAGATCAGATACCAGAGGAAGTACTATCCATCCCACATCGGTCAGTCAGTTATTCGGTGGATTAGCACAGCAGGCACAGTACGGCTCGGCTCGGTTTGGCTCGGCTCAGCTCAGCTCAGCTCGCCGCAGCTCAACCGGACTATGAAACCCAGCTGGGACCGTGAAGCACAGCACAAACACAAAAGAAAAGCGGGACGAGGGGACAAGGGGACAAGGGCAACGAACCTGACTCGTACAGACTTTATTGAACGCCACAAACGCAAACGTTTGCGCCAGCATGGCTCCGGGGAGGGACCGTTTAGCGAGTGCGAACGGAATCACGAGGACGGAGAGGAGGAGTTGGGGGAGGAAGGCCCAGCTTTCGATGCGGACTTTCTCTACGGCTGCGGCTGCGGCTCCGGTAGCACCGTCGGGGGCACCTGCGGCGGTAGCAGCAGCAGCAGAATCATACAGCAAAGAAGCATAGACCGAGAAGTTGTGGCGGTGGTCGATGCGGGTGAGATGATGCAGGAAGGTGTGCTGCAGGAAGTCCCGGCCGTAGTGGTGGTACATGAGGGCGTTTAATCCCAGGAACGTGAGGAGGGCGGAGGCTGTGAAGGTGAGGCGGGATGGGGTGATTTCGTTTCGGAGGCGTTGTTGCAGGACTCCTGTTCCTCTCTTCTGGTTCTGGTTGTGGTTCTGATGCCGGCGGCTGTCCAGAAACAGCAGCACAGAAACCCCATACACGAACGGATAGATCTTGACGTGCACGCCTATCCCCAACACGATCCCGGCGGCGATCACTCGACCGATCCCCCGGATGGTGCTGCTGCTGCTGCTGCTGCCGGTGCTACCGCACCCGAGAACCAAATACACCACCCCGGCAGTCAGCAACCCCAACACCCCCTCCGAGCTGCCCCGCGTGCTGATATTGGCCACCATGGGATTCAGCAGCCACACGCTGGCGTACCGCAGCGCCCGCGCGGGTGCCATCCCCTGGTGCACGGCCAGCGTCCGCGCCAGCAACCACCCCGCGACCACGTCCGCTGCCGCGAACAGTACCTTGCCGAAGGCGAACCACCCCGCCCCGGTCCACGTCGTGGGGAGGAGGACCCACGCTAGGAGCGGGGTGTACCGGTAGGTGGCTCTGTCGTAGGGGCTGCCGCCGGCGGCGGTGAAGCGCGCCGCGTCGGTGAAGACTAGGTAGTCGATGTCGGTGTATTTGAGGGCGGAGTGGGCGTCTTGGTAGGTGCCGTAGAGCAGCAGGGCCAGGCGGAGGAGGAGGGCGAGGGGGTAGATCTTGCCGGGGGTGAAGATTGTGCTTTTGCTTTTGCTTTTGCTTTTGTTTTTGCTTTTGCTTGGGGGAGGGGGA